TTCGCAGACCAAACGAATGTCATAACTTTCTCTAGTTTATTTGATCGAGCCTCACCCTCAACTCTTGTGTTTATCCTTCGGGATAGATACAGGATTTGAGGTAAAGCGCTCTTTCATCTAAACTATGAAAATTATGGGGTCAGTTTGACTTCATTTTTTTCAAAACTAAATTAAAAAAAAAAAAAAGTCCTTCCGAAGCGGGCAATGGGATTTCAATTCCGATGACCGACAGCTTCTTACGGGCAAACCCCACACCAAAAATAGTGTCGACACCCATATAACTCCAACCATAGCCAAAAAAGGCCATCAAAGCTCAAGCACAATCAACATCCAACAATGCAAAACCAAAACAAAAACCATAACTAAGCCCAACCAACCAAAAATTCAAGGATGGGGGAGAAGCCAAAAAAAAAAAACTTACCAATATATAAAAGATCAACAAGATTAGAATGAGGAAATCTAACCCAAAACTACAATCACATTCATAACGAAAAGAAACTTCATCGTGTGAAACAAAAACCAAAGAGGATCATTTGAAATACATATGGAGAGAATACAAAAAAGATGAGGAAGAAGCCAAAACCACCCACTGCTATTCCCTAATCCCGAATGCCCGCTGTGAAAGAGGGAGAAGCAAAAACCCAAGGGTAATATCACAGATAAAACAAGACATTTATGAAAAAAAGATGAAGGACAGTGATGTCTTCTCTCATCCAGGCCGAGAACCGTTGTGCAAGGTTGAGCCCTGCACTGTCATTAATAGCTTTTTCATTTTGGGAACGAGATTTTAAGAAAAGCGCCAAATAAACAGGCTCCCAAATGCACACAATTTTCTTTTCAAAATGGAAAGTATCTAAAAAGCCCTCCCAAACGCACCCTAAATAATGAGTGAGCCATAAATTAGTCTCATGGGCTCATGACTTCTAATGACAAATGCCTATTTCTATATACCGATAATCCCATTTCCACCTATCATCCCATTAACAATGTCACCAACCATAAGATACATTCCCTGATGAATGCGATCTTTCACTTGTAGTTAATTGACTTTCATCGAAAACGTTTAATTGTTCAATCTAAGAGCACTAATTCGTATCTAACTTTAGCCATCATTCATGACAATTCATCAAACATTATTGGTTGAAGCCTATTATTCTAAGTGGCTCATAGTTTCATCTATTGATATCATTAGAGAGTTTTAAGCGAGTTTTGAGATCATATCTCATCTTTTCATGTTATGGGGGATACTGACTCTTGTAATCTCAAATTTTAAATATTATTTCCCTTCTAATTGGGCAAGTCTCGTGGCCTTTTCTCCTCATATTTCTCCAATACAAAATCCTTCTATACTCTGAATCTTTATTACTTTATACCTTTTTATTACTTGCATGGATTAAAATGATACAATGAAGAAGAAACGGGTGGGACAAATAATTTATTACATATAACAACGTATTTAATTAACATCAATGAAAATAACACCTCTGTATGAATTACGGCTAAATAATTATGGTCAACAGTACGCGTTAATCGATTAGTTTCAAACTAGTTTTAAAAAATAGAAAAAAAGACGCACTTTTCTAATATATATCTTTTTAATTTTCATTTCAAATTGCAAGAAATATGTGGCAACAGATTTCACTTTCTTGCACATTCATATAACATAAAATATTATGTTTGGTTAATCGGACCTATACCGTATGTTTGACTACATGGTGTGATTCACGCCCTCGTTCGCACGTCCATCATCCGAACGTAATATTTTCTTTTATTATAATCATGTTGTGCATCTTTCTTAACAAATACTTTTGCAAATAGGGGTGTAAACTAGCAGAGCTCTAGCTTGGCTTGTGTTTCTTGTTAAAAGAAATCACTGTTCATGATCGACTCGTTAATATATCGAGTGCAAAATATTTGTTCGTGTTTGCCTTTTCTGTTTAGTGATCCGAACATGAGTTGTTCGTGAACAACGAGCCGTTTTGAAATTCCTAGAACTGCAACTGCAGGATATTAAGAATTAGGGCAAAATTTAAATTTTATTATTTATATTAAAATATTCATTTCAATAGAATTGAGTATATTTTTATTATATTTTTAAATAATAATTTTATTCGATTATTAATCTTAGTGATCTTGTAATCAATTAAATTTTTAAAAAATAATTATTATCATATATATATATATATATATATATATATATATAATTTAATTATTTCGAGCACAACTTGAACGAACAAATCTCTAAACTCGTGTTCAGCTCTTTTACATGACGAATAAATTAAATATAAGCTATATAATGAGTCGAAGACGAGTTATTCATCTACAATAGCCATTGAAAAAAATATCAAAGAAAAAAAAAATAAAAAAGAGGAATCACATACAAACGCGTGAAGGCCATTGACTTCCAACATCAACTCAAGCCTCCATCCCAACTTCTCCTTCCTCATCCCAAATTCCTAACAATCTCCATTAATTCTAAATCATCATCATCTTAAACTCATCAAAACTCAGAACCCCATCTCTATCCACATCAAACCTCCTTATCATAACTTCACATTCCTCCACTGTCCTCCTCTCCCCCAATCTCCCCAACGCCTCCCTCAAACTCCTAGGAGTAATAAACCCTTCTCCTTCCAACTCATAAACCCTAAACGCCTCCTTCAAGTTATTCCCCTTCTCCTCCTCTCCTTCACCTCTTGCTAACCTCATGAAATCTTCCAACCCAAGCAATCCATCTCCGTCCGAGTCGGCGGACTCCACCGCCGCCTCGGCTTCCTCCATCGAAAACTGCTCTCCTAACGCAAGCATGCAGTTCCGGAGCTCGGCGGGAGAGATCTTTCCGTCGCCATCTTCGTCGAAACGCGACATGACTCGAGCCATGTCGGCTTCCTGATTTGTTGGAGGTGAGAGCTTTGGGATAGGGTTGGGGACATGAAGATGAGTCTGTTTCTTTGGAGAAAGCATGGAAAAGAGTTTGTGGAGAAAGGAGTGATTTTGATTTGATGTTGCTGCGGCAACCATGAAGACTGTGTTTTGGAGAGAGGTTTGGGTTCGTGGATTGGCATGCAGCAGAGATGGATTTGGATGCTTTTGAATATGTTTCTCTTTTTCTTAGATTAGTAGAGGATTGCATATATATATAGATAGATGGATGGATATGGTTGGGGAGGAATTAAGTTGAGGAAGCTTCGTTGAAGAGGATGAAGACAAGAGGAAAGTAGGAGAAGATTCGAAGTCATTCTTACTTCTATTAAAATGTATATGTATGAACATTTAACTATGGAGCAATACTCACCTTTGAAGTTTTGGGGGCATTAGAGAAGAATATTATGTTTTAATATTTGTATGGAGAAATTACAAAGTCTAAGACATGTAATTGGCTCCAATGGGCATAACATAGTTCTTGTTGTGCCACTATTTTTATATTTTTAGTTTCAATCCAAGTTTTGAATGAGGAAGATTTAAATTATTGCAAGATGCTTTTAGCTCTATTTTATATTATGAGATTTTAAGTTATTTTAAGTTTGAATATTTACAAAAATACCACACAATTTTTATGCATTTATATATACATACCACCTTACCTCTGCATGAAAAATATATGTTTCACTTTTTAATTAAAAATTAAAATGGTGGTGTTTTTGATGTAATATGAACAGAGTTTGGTGATATAAATATGAAAAGTAAAGTTTAGGTATAGATATGTAAATACATAAGAATTGGGTGGTATGTATGTAAATGTCCCTTTTAAGTTTTAGTTATTTAAAATTTATGATGAAAAGAAAAAAATTGTAAGAAATATTGACTCATCCTTTTAAAAGAACAGTATTCTAGCTCCTTAGGTACACACTAGAATGATAATGAGTTATTTTTAGAGATGTTACCCTAAGAAACATTTATTTCTTATCATATATATACATTTGGTAGAGAAATTTAAGAGCTTGATTGATTTATTGATAAAAGAATCCAAAGTAAAATAAAATTAAATAATTAGGATTTAGTAAATTTCAAATAGTTTAGACTGTCTGTCACTAAATTAGAAGTTGTCGGTTGCCGGAATGTATATCTCGACTCCAGGTTTTAAAAGATGTTTAATTTAATTTTTATATATAATTTGGGAAAAGTAGTATTTTAAGTTTTGAAAATACAAGACCGAACCGATCTCATATTCTCAGTAGTTTAAATAAACGACCCTAATACTGCAAGCAATGCATCTATCCTGAAGGGTAGACACACTGCTACTGGTAAGACTCGATTTAATAAACTAAATAATTTATGACATCTTTTTAAGTCTGCAAAAAACCATTTTTTTATGTTGACCAGCAAGTTTCCCTATTTAATATGAAAAATTAAATAGGTTTTATATTAAGCTGGGTTCTTAAAAGCTTTTTATATGGGCAAGCCCCTATAGTTAATTTCATCTTAGATAACCAAAGTCACCTAAGAAAAATCTCGATAAAAATCAAGGGATATTATCTTCAAGCTAATATTGTCTTTAAAGAATTCAAGGGAATATGACTTTTTAGAAGATCAGACAGAGAAGTGTGAAAGGAGAATGACTCAAACTTGGAACATTTTATTTTGGAATCCAAAGGAAGAAAAACTAGGAGATATCACGGATTCTGAGGAGAACCTCGGTGACTTCGGAAGCTATCCTATGGTTCGACTTCAATTTCAGGAAGAAATTATTTAAATGTTTTTTCCTGTCAATTTTATTAATTAGAGCTTACATTTATGCAAGACAGTCACACAAATAACTTGGAAAATGTGAGGAATTAGGTCGTGACGAATGATAACCTCGGAATCCTAAAATGAGTTAGGGTTTAAATTGTATAACAGAGCTATACAAAGGCCAAAAGAGAAAATTGAGAATTTATGTCGCACTAGGCAGACGACCTCGAAGTCCTATGGCTTGCTATTTAATTCTAAGGAAAGATGTGTTGTTGAAGATCCTCATATTGTTGTAGATTATTGTTGTAGAAGACTGCCCACAAAGTTAGCTTCAAGCTCCTCGACGAAGTAGCAATCATAAAGTCTAAGGTTTAAATGTTTAAATGTCGTTTAAAGTTCAATCATTATGAGGGGGTTAAAATTGATTAGAGTGACACCGGTTAGGATCCCATGGTTTTCTCGTTCCGGCATCACTATTTTCTTTTAAATTTACTTAGCTTAAACGAGTTGTGAAACTCATTCAAACCAGGAAGATCTCGTTAGCAACCATGGGTTACCTCCTCCGAGGGACTCCCGTAAATTCAAAAGGTTGTTTTATGTTTAGTGGAATTTGTTAGTTGTTATTCATCTCCAAGGCATCATTTTCTTATACCTATTAGTCGGTTTCTATAGACATTTAGTAGTAAATGTCTTTAGTGATAGGTGTTGGTTATTTCTTTACATTGCTAAAAGAGTTGGTTATTTCTTTACATTTTCTTATACCTTTTATTACCTTTAGTAGTAAAAGGTATATCTGATTATACCTTCAACTAGTATAAATGATAAATAAGGTAAAAGAACAAAATACAACATTTTAATTTCTATAATTATTAATCTCAATCCCGCCCCCCGCCACCCATATATATAATTATACCTTCAACTAGAAAGATGGACGACAACATGTGTCTGTCCACCCCATATATCTATATATGCTAATTTGACCAAGCTGAATTCGAACCCGGGACAGAGAGGACTTACGCCAAAGCTGACAACCAACAGACCACCATATTTAAGCATTATTGGTCACATTTTAGGTTCTTCTCAAGTTCAAGTTTTGTTTTTGACACAACCTTTTTTTTTTTCAAACTATTAATCCATTTTCCTATTATCCATAGTAAATGTATATTTATATTTTCAATTAGGAAAGTGTAATACATATCACTTAGCTCTTATAAGTGTAAATACCTAACCCAACCCCTAAAGTTTGATTTTTACATTTATCACATTTTGGTCCCATAAATCTATATATAAAAATATGTATTTTATTTTGTTACAATTAGTATTACTTTTTCCAATTTGTTAGGGTTCCACAAGTATGTAAACTTGAGATGAGGAGGAAATGGCCATTCCCAGGGTCCATTTTGTAAATCTATTTTGTTCATGAGAAAGCCGTGGGAAAGATTGCTAGTCCGGGAATTCTACATTGTGTGGGGGTACATTAGAAAATTATGGAGCAGCGACTTTTAATTGGCGGAAACGTCGAAAACGCGGTTTTGCCTTGGAAAACTTTATTTTATAGTTTTTATTGGGTTGACCTTAAACATGCATGCAACTTCCCTGCATAATGAAAAGAAATTGCGTTTGATTTTCTCCAACTTTGAGAGAGCAATTTTTGCAAGAAATTTCCTGCTAAGCTTTACAAAGAATTTATTAAAAATGGTGTTTCACGAACTACTTTTAAATTGAAAGTTGAGTGAAAAACAATATCTCGTTGCTTATAGGATAGGGAGGCACGCTCAAGGGATTCGAGCATTAGAACCAAGAGAAAATGAGAGAAAGGTGGAGAGAAAAGAGGAGAGGAGTGCACAACGATTTGTCTCTCTGGGGCAAAATGAGATGTTCCTGGACTCTTGTGACCCTTTTTTTTATTATTATCAAATGCTTTTGAGATATAGAGGGGGTGAAGTGCTTAATGGTCCATCCTGTACATGAGAGAAGGGAGAGGCAAAATATCCTCTTACATGAAAAGGCCCCTTTATTTTTAGGAGAGGGTGATCAATCAAGAAAAATTACATTTATAACTACGCTTTATGGTGGGTTATACAGTTTATTTTAGTAAATAAACTCTTGTGGGCCTAGAGTTTAGTCGCTCTCTGGCAAATTGGTTGGGGCCGAGGAGGTGAATTGGTCGGTGCTGTCGGGCGGCCTTCTAGGCGGGGACTGTTGGTCGGTCGACCCTTCAGGTATTGACGACCAGAAGTATTCTTAGAGAAAATAGGAGAGATGGGTCTGTTCGGCTAATGTTGACTGGTTGGATGAGTTGAGCAGGTCGTCAGTCCTCAGTTCCTGCCGGGGGAATTCTCACTGTATCCTTTAGCAGAATATCTTTTGGATGTATATCGTTGGGTCAGTTTGCATGAATCCAGGCTGGCTTGAGCTGGTCGGTTTTCCAGTGGTCCTACATTGCCATGCATTCTTTTCTTGAGCTACTAGATTGCCTCAAGATTCATGTTGACACAATTTTAGTGTACGTGTCTACGCCTGTAACTTGATCCAACTCAACTCAATTTGTTAAATCCTTGAGAGAGAGAGAGAGATGTGAAAAGAAATTGAAGGCAAAGATGATAAATCTTTACCATCTTAGATTGATTTATTAAACATGCATGAAAGTGTCAAAGGTTAGAGCCAAGGAGAGAAGAAATATAGAGAACGAGAAAAAAAGATCCATAAGGAAAGAGAAGTTTTTACCTAAATGAGCAGCCCTTAGTCGAGCACAACATTAGTAACTATATCATAAATAATAAGTCTATAATAAAATATATGTCAGAAGATATAGAACCAAAATACTAACTTGGCCTTTAGTCGATGGTCGGTAAGTTAGTTGACATTCATAAGTCTGTATTTGGTAGGTGTTCATCCTTTTCCCGTCATCCTATTGGTGAGTCTGACATTACATCTAGGACTTCTTTGGTTGCATTTTTATTTTTATTTTTATTTTGGTGCATTTTCTATTGTTTTATTTTTTTTTGTTTTAAGAAAATAGAATTACATTTAAAAATACTTTAAAATAATATATAAATGTTTTAAGTGTTTAAAAAATAAGAAACATTACTAAAAAAATTGTTTTCTTTCAAAGTAAAACATAATTAAAATAAAAAAAAAAGAAAAAAGGTGATCCCAAATGGATCACTTTTAATTTTGATTTTTTTTATTTTATTTTATTTATATTTTTATTTGAAATAAAACATATTTATTATATTACAATATGTTTAGTTATTTTTAATAATACTCAAAATAACTTTTAAATATTTTGAGTATTTTTAAAAATTAAATTAAATTTTCTATAAAATAAGAATAAAAACATGCAAAAAAATGCAATAGACAATCATATTTTTGAAATAAAAAGAAAAAGGAAAAAGAAAAAGAAAAAATAGTGGTGATCCCAAATAAGCTCTTAGTTTTGCAATTATCTTATTTCATTAAGGGGTGGATGCGAGAAGAATGAGTGCATTTTTTTTTTAATTTAGTTTGTTACTTTGTAGTGAGACTTACATGTTGCTCATCTTTATAGGATGATCTTTAGTCTCTATCATTAGCCTAGCCCTATAGTCGGCCTGCATGAGGTTAGAAAAAACATTTTTTATTGAGAGCTTA